ATTGCATTCCTGACTCTTCCTCCTCCCAAGGACAGGTGCTTGCTTTGGGCTCCCAATCCATGGTCTGACCCTGGCCCTGAGATTAAACCTGTGGGGTTGTGTACATAACTTCTGGGCTGTGTACAGATACCATTGTCACTAGGGTGATGGGATTGGATTTTGAGGTCCACACCCAGTTTGTGATTGGGATAAGGAGAAGGTGGGTGAGAGAATGTGGCATTTGGGTGGAGTGGGAGGGCGGGTGCGAGGCTGTCAGGATGTCTCTTGGAGTCCTGGTCCCTGTTGGGCTGATCTGGTTTTCCACTTCATTGATTTTTCTTTTTCTGCTGATGGAGTTGTTTGTGTTTCGTTTGTCAGAATCCTCTTGAAACAAGTGAGGCTATTTTTGGCTCTCTGATTGGCCTTTTTGTGATCATCGCTCTGTCTTGTTTGTTTTAGGTACATCTAGTTGATGATTTTCCATTTGCAGCTGGGGTGGTTGTGGCGATTTTCCATTTGCAGCTGGGGGTGGCCGCAGCGTGCTGCTCGGACTTGCGGCCTGGCCCAGCTGTGTCCTCTAAGTCCTTCCTGGGGGGTGTAAGGCTGTAGCATTTAGATGCCTGCTTTGCAGGCACATCAGCTCGTCTGGGGTCTGGAGGATTGCCCTGTGGTCACTGGGCACCAGCCTTGTCTGGTCAGCTGTCGGCCAAGCAAGCCAGCCTGAACTGGCCCTGAGCATCGTGGTCAGAACAATATAATAAAGAAGAAAATTTCAGACCTGCATTCTGAAATGATGTTCTCTTGCTGAGGGGGATTTCTGAGTTTCCAGAAAGTGGGGTTTGCACGGATGAGAAGCGTTTCAGTGGGCCTTCCTACGAGCCCTCTCCCCTGTGCTCATCAGCTTCTCTAGCCCCCCTCTCGTACAGCTATGGACTTGAGACTCTGGCTCCGTGTGTCAGGGTAGGTAGGTTCTCAGTAAATGGCTGAAGAGTTAATTTTACAACTTGGACTCCACTCTTAGGACTTTCCAGATCCTTCTCTGAATGTCCTCAAGGTCCCACATTCTCTCGCCTATTAGGTTTTTAAACCCCTGGTTGTTTTAGCTCTGGGAGCCTTTAAACTCTGCACCCAGCACGCTCCTCTGAGGGTTGCGGCTGGCAGGGAAGGAGGGATCCCGCGCTGGCTCGGCCATCTGTCTCTGTCTGGACTGTTTGCTGATGTTCTTTAGTCAGCCAGGGGAAGCCTGCTGGCCTAAAAAAGGGACAGTGAGGAAAACCACAGTGTGGGGAGGGAGGAGCAGTCCCCTTAATTCTTTGCAGCAGCAGACATGGGGGCCTGGACCTAGTGGCTTTAGAATCCCTTTGGATGAGTGGGTTCTCATGTGTCTGAGTTGAAGGCCTCTGGTTTTTGAGAGAAGGAGCCAAAATGACCACTCGCTACCGTGTACCATGAATGATGACAGCGGGCTCCGTGCAGGGCCCCTCATGGGTTCCTATATCACCCCATGGAGAGGCTGCCCATCTATAGGTAAAGACACAGCCAGGAAGTGACAGACCTGGGATTCTGGGCTCCTGTGGGAATGCAGACCTGTTCCTTCTAGAATGTAGAGGCCTTAGGGTATTCTTCCCACCGACCCACCCTGCCCTGAAAAGCTGGAATGCATTCGTCCAGGGGGTGGGTCAATGTCAGCTGTGAGCCCTGCTGTGTGCAAGCCCCTCCCTTTGTACTGTGTGGTCTCTGTAGAAGCTGAGAGTGTGGTCCTGGCCATTTGGGAGCTTATAAGTTAATGGGAGAGAAGAACACACACATCATTTATGTGTTCAGAGGGAGCGAGATCAGGGAAGCTTCCGTAAACCGCTCTGGGGGGGGGACCTTGCCATCAGCACACGTCTAGCAGCAGAGGGTCGGGGGGCCATCTATCTCCAGGAGCACTGGGAGCAAAGGCTCAGGGGCACCTTTGTCTGCCTTCTGCCACTCTAGACTGTGTGCTTGTGTGTGTGTGTGTGTGGTAAAATATACATAACAAAAATCCATCTTAACCCATTTTAGCCATTTTTAAGTATACAGTTCAATGGAATTAAGTACATTCAAACTGTTGTGCAACCATCACCACCATCCACCTCCAGACGCTCTTCATCTTGCAAAACTGAAATTCTATACCCATTGAACAACAGCTCCCCATTTCCCCACCCTCAGCCCTGGCAACCACCATTCTACTTTCTGTTTCTATAATTTGACTATTCTTGGTACCTTGTATAAGTGGAATCATACAGTATTTGTCCCTCTGTGTCTGGCTTGTTTCACTTAGCATAATTTCCCCAAGGTTCATTCACGGGGTAGTACAGACTGTAATTTTTGAAGGCAGGGATCCCTGGTTTATCCGGATCTGCCATGGAGCCTTGGTCAGAGCTGGGCACACAGCTCATACTCGAAGATCACTTCCTGTTTTTCACAGCCGTGGTGTTGGACTGGGAAGATGGGAAGGTGAGCTGGTCTTTGAGAAGCATCTGATCAGCTAAATCTTTCCCTGTTCTTTTAACTTCCTTTTTGGAGGACTTCAGTAAGCCTTTTCATGAAAGAGAAGGCCAGCAGACCCAAGGACCTTTCTTCTTTCAGTCTGAGGAATTCTTGATCTGAACACACAAGCTTGTGTGCCCCTCAGCCCTTTTCTAAGTGTTAGTCTTGAGATGTGACCCCAGATCTCCTGTTTCTTCGTGGACTCTCAAGTGAGTTGCTGCCCTGTATTTTCACATTTATTAAGCAGCTTAATTTGCCCTTTGGGTTCTGGTGACGTGTTGTTGCCAGAATGATCACTGCTTTGTTTTTCCCTCGGATGATTGAATGGACCAGTGACCAGTTAGAGTGAGTAACTATGGGGCAGCGAAAGGTCATTTAGGCCTTGTGCTGGCCCCATCGTCATCTCTTTAGATCAGAGCCTTTTAGTCACCTCTAAATCGAGCACAGGCTCCATTCCACAACAGAGGCAGAGTGGACAGAACTGGGTGGAGTCCTGAGAGCACTTAAGTCATCAACAGGGTGGAAACGGAGTCTAGATCCAATTTTACTAGGGTTCTCTGGCTCAGGAAGGATGACTTTCTTGTTTTGGAAACAGCGAAGCATTCCAGAACCTTTCACTAAAGAAGGAGCTGAGAGTGCTGTTGATTTGCGTGGGTCCAAGGGAACGTGCCATCCCCATTGCTGCCTTTTGCCTCACTGGTTGCTCTGGTAGCCATGCATCCCCCAGCCCCCGCTGGGCTGGGAGTCCTGTGGCCCAGAAGACCTGTGTATGTGACCGCTGCCCTCACCAGGACAGAGATTCCGGGAGAGCCATGTGCTGGGACCCACCTAGGAGAGGACAGCTTGCCCCTGTCTGAGAGGGCTCCACACGGAGCATGGATGGGCATCTGCCAGTGTTTTCAGGTTGCTAAACAATAGGCTGAGTTTTGACGGAGGCTGCTTTATTTATTTGTTTGTTTGTTTGTTTGTATTTTTATTTATGTTTTTATTTATGGTGACATTGGTTAATGAAATCCAATAAGTTTCCACTGTACACTTTAACAGTAAGGCATATATTTATTTACACTGCGTTCACCTCCCATAGTTAGATTTCTTTCTGTCACCACATATTTGACCCCCTTTACCCCTTCCTACCTCCCTCCCCGCCCCCAGGCTGCTTTTTAGATCAAGGCTCAGGGGGTGGTGGTAGATTAAGTTAACTAGGAACCCCACAGGGATTCTTGATGCCGACCAGAATACAATTCCTGAGGCTCATGTAGGGTTTTTTTCTTTTGAAAAAATATAGTAATTTTAATTAAACTGTCGTACAACATGTGATACGTGTTTTTTTTTTTATTATGGTGGTAAAATATAATGAAATGAATCATTTTAAGCTTTTTAGTGCTTTTTGGTTTTTTACAGTTTAAAATTTTTCAATTGCAGTTAACATACAATATTATATTAGTTTCAGATGTACAACATAGTGATTAGGCATTTATATAACTTAGAAAGCAATCACCCCAATAAGTCTAGTATCCAACACCATACATAGTTATTCCAATAACATTGACGATATCCATTTTAAGCATTTTTAAGTGCGTAATTCAGTGGCATTAACTACGTTCGCATTGTTGTGCAGCCATCACCGCTGTCCAGCTCCAGAACTTTTTTGTCACTCCAACCAGAAACTGTCCCCGTTAAGCAACATAACTCACCTTCTCCCCCACCCCTGGCAACCACCACTTCACTCTCTG